TGGTTGGACCGGACTCTCCACCCGGACCATTCAAACAATTTTCAGCTTTGAAAACTTTTGTTTTCATTTAATACATTATGAAATATCAAAAAATAAATGAAAAATTTCATTACATGTTTAGGACCCAGTCCCTGGCAGGGTCTCTCGTTAGAATTAAAACAATGTGTGGTCTCTCAGTCGAAGTAAAAAAAAAAAATCTTGTATATATACTACATGACTTAAATATGACATTCCTTTAAAAGATAAGATGCGTTCAAGTCTCGTGAAAGAAAAAGATCTCGAATTTTTCACTTCTTGTCAGACTGGGCACCAAAATAATATAATATAAAGGCAGCACCTACCGAATACGATAAACAATTTTTACTGATAACAACTTTGAAAGGTAAAGTGCCAACCTTAAGTTAAAAATGTTGCCTTTATTGAACAGTACGCTAAATCGATTCGAATTGATAAGGATTTTGTTGGGGCCACTACTCAAAGAAAAAAACCAACACCACTTTATCGATCGGGCTGTTATCTAGACCTGTGTCCATGTAATCACGTCAAAAGCCGTGCATGTAAGCCAGAATCAAATTGAAACACACAGGAGTAGGAAAAACCTTTAAGATTCGGTTGAAGTCAGCCTTGACAGTCAACTTTTGTCTATCCTTACGTAGTAAGCATACATTGCTGGAATACACACACCCCTCCGTATCGGTCCCCTTTATTATTTACTAGAGCAGCAGTTCTCAACATGTGGGTCCCGATCCCTTTGGGGTTGAACGACCCTTTTCCCAGGTGTCGACTAAGACCATTGAAAACCACATATACTGTACAGTTATGATGTAGCAACGAAAATAATTTTGTGGTCGGGGGTTTTCACAAGATGAGGCGTTTTATTAAAGGGCCGCGGCATTAGGAACGTGAACAACTGTAGTAGAAGATTTGACTCGGTTTTAAAATGCTAACAATAGAAGGCATAGTTCTCTACTGGCTACCTGCTTTTGCGAAGTATAAAAATTTAGAAATTTTTACGTATGTAACTTTTTAAGGTTTTGTGATATTTTATGATGAAAAAAGAAATGTAAAAAAAAAACTGTCAATGGTCTTGAAAAGTATTTTTACGAAATATTAATCATACTATAATTTTTCAAGAAGAATCCATGTATTGGTGCTTAAATTCTTAAAGTCATTTAGATTTGAGAAATGTTTATTTTCTATATGCTAAACAATATAGGCCCACCCATCCTTTTTCTACGCCCCGGAATTAACAAGAAAATAATTATTATTTTAAATTACTTATAATTTATAATAAGAAAACATATATATTAAAAATAGCTCACACTTGCAGAAAAGCATATATATTTTATCATATTCTTTATTCCATGGATTATTACTGATTATCTATTTCATATTGATTATGTAGATTGGAGATGTATTATACATTTATTTAAGTATTATTTGTAAAGTTATTGAAGAAGTAAAGTGATGTGTGCGATGACCTTGACCTAACATTTCGAAAGTGCAAGCAGTTGTGTAAGTGATAACTCGGTCCTGAAAAGAAAATGAAGTTTACAATGACGTGTAATGAATGAAAGAAGCTACATCGGTGTTCGAATGTTACAGGTACCCTTGAGGATCAAATCCAATGCTTTTGAAACTCTGTGATTATTTTATTTAAAATACATTGATTAAAATGTGCATTTCAGTGTATTTTTAATCCAAAATGAAAAATCAAAAATAAGAAAAGAAGTTATAAAAAAAGGGTGACTTAGGAAAATTCTCAAACTCTCTTTGTGTTCAAGATCTTTCAGTTTTAATGTTCAGGTTATCCATCAAGTTGAGAATGTGTTGATATCGAATGTGGCTTGTTAAAATTGTTCCAGAGGGTTTGTTTTTTATTTTACCCATCTTTTTGATCATCATTAGTCACAAACGACGTAATATTTTCAAACAACCTGATGTTTCTATCAAATTAAAATAAAATAATGACCGCCGTGTGAATTTTATTTTATGCACGTATCTACACAAATAATGTTGAAGAGTAAGAATAAATAACTAATAAATTCATATAAAGTCAAACATTTATATCTTCTATCGTGCTTTAAAGCCAATGCATATTACGCTTTAAGAAACAACAGACGTTACAGGTACTTGAAATTTAGCACGAGATCCACTGACCAAGATGTACTGGGAATACAGATTAGGTATTCTTGAAATGAACTAGTGACGCATGACGTGTCAAATGATCCCTAGCATATATGTTGTGAGTATCCCAGTGTTTAGCTGAATATTTACTTATTTTTGATTTGATGTTAAATCACGAAATAGTTGAAATAGCCTTCTTATCAATGTTTCTCAAACCTGTGTTGATCTTGCCTCAAATTTGTGTGTAGCTGCATGTATTAGTGTGCTTAAAAAAGTGGTTAAATTTTAAGAGGCCCTTCAAATTTTAAAGTTAAGATGTTATGTTCAAATATATTTAAACTTCCTAATTAAATCTTTACTTTGTGTCCGACGCATAATATTTTTTTTTTCATTTCTACGGTTATTTAATTTTAAAAAACTGAAAACAAATTGCTACTTTGTAAGGAACAAGGAGACTTGGTCAAATATTTCCTTGAGGGTAGAAAGGCGCATCATTTAAAATAGAAATGAAACAAAATTGTAATGTTTTAACCTATGTCACATTCTTTGTTTTCAAAATTATATATTTTATCGAATTTAGTAAAGAAGATATCAATAATATAATAAACTTGAATACATCACATATAAATTTTCTGTGGAGTTTTAGAAATTAAAGTAAATAAAATTAAAAAAAAAATTTTAAGCAAATATTTGGGCATTTTGGTGTAATCAAGAATTCGTTTGAAGATACTACTGCCAACTACTAATCTAGTGATCTCACCATGGCTATTTGATTATTTCGTTATTGAACAGGAATATGATAAAAATAATAACAAAAATAAAATAAAATGATGAATATAGTTTCATCACTACAAGGTGTTTTTTTTTCTCATATCAAATATTGTTTTAAAGTAATATTAAATGAATTTTCGCATTAATAGTTAAACATGTTTTTCTTATTTGGTCTTCGCTATTACTCCAAAACATGTTTTTCTTATTTGGTCTTCGCTATTACTCCAAAACATGTTTTTCTTATTTGGTCTTCGTTATTACTCCAGGGATTTATTGACTTATGTATACTTTTATATTTGTATCGTTAATTCCAAAACGTTATTGAATATCTAAGCATTTAAAGTATCTTCAAAATATTTCTTAGCAAATTTGTTTACAAGCTTATTCGATTTCGAATTTATTAACGTTATCAAGAAACTGCGTACTTTAGTTGTTGCCGGTAATGGGTATGAGGCAATGGGTGCCAGCTAAAACTCCCTGCCAATGATTAAAAAGACGCGGCCCTAAGAAAGCCGCCCCTAGTCGACCGTTTCGTCCCCGCTACGTCCTGACCGGACAGCTCCCTGGGCGGTGGGGAGTGGTAACGCATCACCACCTCCCCGGAGAGGAAGTAAAGCCGTCTAGACCCCTAGGAGAGTGGACCGCGGATGCTTTAAACCCAGCGTCTTCCGTCGACTGGACGTCCCTCAGGCCAAGAGGGAGGTTCCTGGTGAGCTTCCGCAGGGTCTGGAGTCGGTGAAGCCCGGCGATTGGCCCCTGTGGGGGGGGGGCGGGGTATTATGAGTGCGAACTCGACGACCCACCGACTGTCGAGTATGAGCGTTCATTAGTAATTGTTGCAACTGAATATTATGTTCATTAGTTGTTGAACGCTTTTCCCGCGCTTGACTCTTATAGTTATCAAACGCTCTTCCGCCATTGTCTCTATGACGTATTTTTATGCTGATTCGTGAGGTATTGTCTATGCAGTGTTGTGACGTATGTTTTAGTCGTGCGGCAGTCTTGAGTGGAACTTTGGAGTGATAGGATGTGTGTTGTTTAGGTCTGATAGCGAGCTGCGATATATTCACGTGTTCTGAGTATAGTATTTACTTAGACATGAAAGTTGTAATTATTATGAAAAGGAGTTTGTTCAGTGATAGTAGGAATAGTACGACTCATTCAACGTGTGAAAAGAACTTGACGAATGTAATCAGCCAAGAAGACTGTAGGAGTTGACACCGACACCATCTCCAAAGTGATGTTATTAGTTGTTGCATACAATGCGCCCTTGAAAGATTTGGCAATGGAAATATAGAAACAAAGCTTCGCTAAATCTTAATATATTTTTACAAACGAGTAACGGACTGTTCCGTTGTGATATTTTATTGTTTTTGCATGTGCATAATTTAACCGTTTATTTAAAATTGTTTCAACGTGGTGCGAAATTTTTTTTATGATAGCTTAATGGCACGATGAACATATTTAACACAAAAAAATATATAAAAAAAAAAATAATTCGTAAAACCATTTAATAGTGTCCAAAGGGCACAGCTATAACTGGAAACATTAAAACATGCTTAAGAAGACATAATTGCCGTGTTAAATTCGCTATATTCTGCACTGTGTCGTAAAAAGCAATAGCTATTTCAGACTCCCAACGCTCAAATGATGATTTATTAATAATATAATCTGGTAAGAGAAAGCGGCTAGTTATGTAATTAACAACTGATGTAAAATGTATTGATAATTTGTTGATTTATAAGCTTACGACAGCGGTTCTCACATTTTCAATGCCAGGTCACGTTGATAAAATGTATTAAGGCGTGGCAAACCACATGCATTATCCTGCGAAACAATGGTGGTGGATAATCTTCATAGGTTGCCCAATTCGTCACTGTTCATTTCAGGTGACACACGTTTGGTCATGCAGTAATTAATTTTTTAAAAAATTGTTAAAGATATAAATAGAACCGTTTCAAATAATTTTAAAAAAACATTAAATTTCAGGAGTAATCGTCTCTTAAAGTAAGAATAAACAAGATTAAAAAACAATGATGGGCTCAATAAAAATCGAAAGGGAAGCTAAAAGAGCTAGAGTTGAACCAATCACTCTCATGCTCATGAAAGTGGCTGAACATGGATTTACAACTGAAGCTGAGGATCTAATTAAGGACGGGGTTGATGTCAATGGCCTTAACTTTAGAACCGAAAAAACGCCCCTGGTCCTAGCATCAGAAAATGGACACACAGAAACTGCTTGTTTATTAATAAAGTACGGGGCAGATATAGAGGGCGTAAAAGATTATTATTCACCTTTGGCGTCAGCTGCAGAGAATGGACACACAGAAACTGTTGGAATGCTGATAGAAAATGGAGCGAATATAAACAAAATAATTGATTCTGACACATCAATTTTAAGTTTGGCCTCGAAGAATGGACACAACGATACAGTAAAATTACTCATACAAAATGGCGCTGATGTGAATATTGAAGAAGAGGACCCTGCTCTAAAGTGGGCCGTAGGAGATGGACTCACAGATGTTGCCCGAACGCTGATAGAAGGAGGAGCCAATAAGGATTACCAAGACTATTCGGGATGTAGTCTTTTAGAAACAGCGATAATAACGGGGAAAACGGATGTAGCTAAATTACTAATAGAGAAAGGGGCAAGTGTTGATGGTGCGTTATTGCAAGCCTTTGAGAATAAAAATGCAGAGATTATAAAAATCTTAATGAAACAAGATATTGGTGTGAAACAAAAAGATAAATATGGAAACACTTTACTAATATTAGCTACTATAGGCGGAGAAACAGAGCTGATGACTGATTTGATAGACAAAGGATCTGATATTGAAGAAAAGGACAATGATGGCACTACTGCTCTAATGATCGCCGCATTTGAAGGTTGTGTGGAAGCTATAGAAATATTAATAAAAAAAGGAGCTGATTTGAATAAGAAAGCAATTAATGGAAGAACAGCTTTAATGTTTGCTTCACTCAATGGATATCAACATTTCGATGTCATTGAAAAGTTAATTAAACACGGAGCAAGTGTAAATGACACATGTCAAAATCGAATGACAGCTTTAATGTATGCATCCCAGATATGGCGTACGGATATTTTAAAGCTTCTAATAGACAAAGGTGCAGATTTAAATGTACAAGACAAAAATGGAGATACCGCTTTAATTTTAGCCACAAAAGTTGTACAATTGCAAAATATGAAAATACTAATAGACAGTGGCGCCGATGTCAGCATACGAGGAAAAGATGGATTATCTGCAAGAAGCATAGCGATGATGAGCAAAGATAAAAGAATGCTGAGATTGTTTGATGAGAAAAGTTCTATTGTATCACAAGATAATATTCAGAAGCATGAAGCTATAAAAAGCTTGATCGGCGCTGACACAAAGTCCCCTGGAAAATGTCTAAAAATAAATGAGAAAGAAACTAGCATAAAACCTGAAAAATATGATGAAAACATGTCACAAGTTTTATCAACCGACATTCAACATCTCGCAAGCGGAGACAAAGAAGGAAAAAAAGATTTGAAAATAAAAACTAAAGAAAACCTTGGGTCAGCGGCTCAAGTCAAACTTGGACTGCAAGGAATGTCATTGTTTGAAAATCATCTCAAACTGCCCATGCTGTCAAGGTAAGTAATTTTAAGGCAATCGCTACAAAACATTTTATGTTAAATTCAAAACTTGACATTTTAATCGTATATTTAATTTTTTGAGGACGCCAGAAGAAAAATTAATTAAACTAAAGGAAGTTTCCAAGGGGTTGAACATTGCAACCTCGCGTAATTTTTAAACTTCCTTAAAATATAAAAAACCATACAGTTAACAAACCCGGCTTTGCTCACGTTTGTATTTGGAAAAATATCCCACACAACACTTTAAGCGAACAGGTTCTCAAAACTACTTCGCTAAAGACTGTATCAAAAATTTAATTTGCTACTAAAGGTCAGCTTTATAACAATTCTTGTAAACATTGAATTCGCAAACCATACTGGTTCAATCAATATTCCTGTCCCCGGTGTGCCAGCCATTATCATACTCTGGCTGATCAACTAATTTACTAATGGCGTAAAACAACGATGCGATTGTAGTTTTAACACTTTGTTAGAATATACTTCCCAACCGTCCTTGTTTACATGTAAAACGCGTGCAAGAACTCTGGTATTACAAATTGTCTCCCCAACCTTGATTAAAAATACATACAGTCTATAGTCGGTAGAAATTCGAACTCTTTAGAACGTTCTAGACTGGTCCGGATACGATGCCGAATCCATTTCTGGAAAAGTCAATACAAATACTATAAATACGTCTATATACAAAATGAGCCAGAGGGAGAGGAGCTATGTAGAGGGTTTTGCTATTGCAATACAAGATCAAGATTTGTATTCACTCTCTGTGTGTAGGTACCTTTTTTCAACATTGCACCTGTACACGTGCATTGCTTAGCTGTAAGTCATTAGCCTTAGTTTTATGCTATTTGATTTTTCTACGGTAAAGTTAGCTTAACAAATTATTATTTGTAATTTTCCCTATTTTGGGTATCGTTATAACTGTATCAATACAGATATTAATGGTATCGTCCATCGTTGTGTACTGTTTGCCACGAGCCACACAATAAAATAAGAGATTAAATTATCTACACTTATTACGGTACGTAGAACACTTTTTAACATGGTGTTCTCAGCCTTGCCTAGTCATGAAGCTTTTATTAATAGTAATGATGGCATTCCTGTAAGATACAGGAGAGACAGATGACTATATAATGAAACGGTCATTAGAGTCCTCTAATTCGGCGTGTACTGCCACATAAATACTAGTTCAAGATTGAAGATACAGCAAATACGTGATCGCTCAGACTAGTGACAAATACTAAAACACCGAACAAAAAAACAACCCCAGAGTTTTCGTGCCAACCAGTTCAATAAAAGCCTCACTTTTAAATTAAGGGACATGAATATCAAAGCAGTGGATGAATTCTCATATTTAGGGAACGCCGTCTCACGGTCAGCAACTATAGGTGGCTGAGATCAACTTAATAATTTCCAATTTGAATTTCGTACTCGGAAGACTCCCAATGTCTGGTAGTGAAGAGATCTCAGTCTTATTAAGATAAGATATACATATCTCTAACAAAAATCATTATATATATAATGTGAAATTTTAGTAACTCTCTTATACGCCATCGAGACATTGACAGTGTACTGCACACATGCTAGATAACTAAACCATCTCCGCGTACAATGTTTATTCCAGGTTATTGACATACGGTGGCTGGACAAAGTCCATAATACAGATGTCCGGCAATAGACATACTTTTTAGCAGGCATAAATGCTTGAAAAATTGACACTATAGATTGACTTGAAATGCTACCAGCTTGCCAGACAGCAGACAGCATAAACAACTAAGGTAGGGGGAACTTTCCAAAGCAAAACTCTCGGCTGCTGGGCACAAGAAAAGCTTCAAGTATTGCCTAAAAATGTCGTACTTCAAATCCATTTATATGTACCTAAATTCACGTGCAGATGCTACTGGGACAGAATAAACAAGTGATACCGGGACATAATCTACAGATATTAATGGGACAGAATATATGCATATTATTGACAAAATAAGTCCAAATAAAATCAATGAAGCATTCACACATACATTCCAAATGGAACATTTTGATCACGTTGCTAATGTTTTTAAGGAATTTATAGATAATTCGTGACCTAAAAAAACAAACAAACGAACTAACGATATGACAAAAGATCACACGATTAAAGATGCCGATCAGAGAATGAGTTGTCCAACTGTTCGTCTAACCACACATGGACACGAAGATTTTGTTAATGTGAAGATCTTCTAAGAGATGTATTGAATAGCTTCACTCTACACAGCTACGTTAAATTTTTTTCCGTTTAAATCATCGAAAACATAGCACCATATGAATATTTAAATGCTAAATCCAGTAGGATCCATTTTATTTTTCAATTCACGGATTTAGAAGACGTAGTTTGACAAATCAACAGGGCTGTTTCACAGTAAAACATCCAACACGATCACCGGAATCGTGTGCCATCAGAATATTAAAAGTGAAACATTTTCTTCTTCTTAACTATTTCAACTGCGTGATATTTAGGTCCCATCAAATTTCATATTTAGCACATGACTGATAAGTCCATCATTGTTATAATTCGTTGATCATATTTACTTAATCCATTTAAATAAAACAATGTTTTCAATCTAAAGGAAATTAAAATTAAAAATAACATGGAAGTTAACTTATTTCACATAACAAACGTTAAAAAAATTAAAAATTCACAAAATAAAAAAAAAATAAAAATCAAGAACACAATCGGGAAATATTGACAATAAAATCTAAATTGGACATTTTAAAACATTTTCGTTATATTCAGTTTGAACAATCTACCCAATGTCAACACAAGACAAATGCAAGGAGCTGAGAATAGTTCTCATAATCAAATAAATCAGCTCGTATTCAAGTAAGTAAAGAGAGTCCTTTCATTTATACTTTCTAGTAAAGAAAGTGACAATGTTGATACAATTGATGACCAAGTAATGTGTAGACCAAGTAAAGTGTAGACCTAGTAATGTGTAGACCTAGTAAAGTGTAGACCAAGTTATGTGTAAACAAAGTTATGTGTAGACAAAGTAACGTGTAGACCAAGTAATGTGCAGACCAAGTAATGTGTAGACCAAGTTATGTGTAAACAAAGTAATGTGTAGACCTAGAAATGTGTAGACAAAATAAAGTGTAGACAAAGTTATGTGTAAACAAAGTTATGTGTAGACCTAGTAATGTGTAGACCTAGTAATGTGTAGACCTAGTAATGTGTAGACCATTTAATGTGTAGACCTAGTAATGTGTAAACAAAAAGCAATGTGTAGACCTAGTAATGTGTATTGTACCGTTCTGTTAACATTTTAAAAACTCTTTCTATATGTTATTTATTCAACACAATCACCATAAACCCATCGGCACTCAATGATCTGTCTCCATTTTCCCCATTGAGTAGCCTTCAACTTAATGTCTCACTATTACACTCCCATCACCTAGGACTCTACTTTTAGACAACCCACATATTCTTACGCCTTTTTCTACTTTTTAAAATTATACATAGATGTTTTCATTTTCATATGAATAAGAAATTACATGGAATACATTATTAAATAAGTATTCTTTTATGTCTAACAGTTTGTAAGTTTTATCCCAAAACAACTCATGCCAATAAGTTTTATCAAAAGACAACTCATGCCAATAAATTTTATCACAAGACAACTCATGCCAAAAAGTTTTATCACAAGACAACTCATGCAAAAAAGTTTTATCACAAGACAACTCATGCCAATAGGTTTTATCACAAGACAACTCATGCCAATAAGGTTTATCATAAGACAACTCATGCCAATAGGTATTATCATAAGACAACTCATGCCAATAGGTTTTATCACAAGACAACTCATGCCAATAGGTTTTATCACAAGACAACTCATGCCAATAAGTTTTATCACCAGGTACAGTAAGTATTGCTAATAATTCGTTCAACTTGTTTTAATTGTTTACAAAGAAAAAGATCAAAACGTCAATGATGCCAGTCGGTACACAAAGAAACCAGAAGTCCTAAAGGTGCAAGCAGTT